TTTCCAAGCTTTTTTAGGGTCATGTTTGACACTTTCAAATTGTGCTTTATAATATGCTGTTTTTGCTTCTCGCAGTGTACTAGTTATATGGTTTCTAGAGGTTTTATATGCAGTCCAGTAATTTTCTGAATTGTATTTAACGGCAAGGAATTTGAGACGATCGCGTTCACGTAGGCTATTTGTTTTTTAATTGCATTAGTCAGCCAAGGAATATTTGGTATATTTTTGACTCTCTTTTCTCTAATTGGTGCATGCTTATCTAGAACTGACAGGAAAATAATTTTCCATGTTTCCCACATCCTGTCAACGCAGAAGTTATTGTCCAACAAATCCCATTCCTGATTACTCAAATCCTTTAGGAAATTTTCAGCATTAAAATACTTAAAGTTTCGAATTTCCACTTTCTTGTGGCGGTTGTTTTGTTTAGGACGAATATTAATTTTACGAACAACTAAAATCATGTAGTGATCGCTGATAGCAATCTGCACCACTTTAGATAAGACTAACTTATCTGGAGTTGGGGAGAGACAAACATCCAACAGGGTAGATGTAGTCATGGTCACGCGACTGGGTGAGCTTATTGTCTGTGTTAACTGATATAGTTCAATGATTGAATTTAAGTTTTTTGTGGCATTATTTGAAACGTCAAGCATATTGGCATTTAAATCACCAAGTATGTAAAATTCCTTATTCTCATGGTCTATAAGTTTAATTAGTTGCTCAATATTGGCAAAAGAGCCGACAGAAGCACCTGGAGGTCTATAAATGGTACCAACAATAAACGATGCAGAAGAGGGTTTGTTAACCTCAATACAAACTGCTTCAAGATTATCTGTAGTCAGATCTTTTCGTTCGAAATAATTACCATTATTATTAATGGAATGTCTTATATATAAACAGACGCCTCCCCCTGTTCTAGAGCGATCGGTCCTAATTAAATCATAATTGTGAATAAACATATCCTGATTGGTAATATTATTATCTAGTCTTGTTTCATTTAGTGCGAGAATATCGAGACATTTTTCAGCTAATATTACTCTAATTTCTTCTATATGTTTAGGTAATTAGCTAGCTATATTAAGCATACCATTTTAAAACCCTTTACATTAGGTAAGCATGGGTTAGTCGGTGTATGCCTGTTTCCACCTGGCTGTACATCATATCAATTTAAGCGTAAATGATTGCTATAATTCTTACTAATAATTGAGCTTCCGTTTTTATTTAGGTGTAAACCGCGCCTATTTAAACAAGTATAGTCAATGTTGCTATTATCTATATAGGTCCAATTATTTTCAATGCACATGCGTTTAAGTATAGCATTAACATGTTCTATTTTATTTTGAATAGAATGTCTGTCTTTCCTGACAGTTTTACTTGAGAAGCTTACTTTGGTACGTGGCAAAGATTCTTTAACCTGAGTACCCAGATTCAGGATACCAGCTGCAACCATTTCTGCTGTCTTCGAATTATCTTTTCATCGTTGGTGCCTATGTGTAGTTTCACCTCATCAGGTTTTTTGCGGATAAGTGGTAAAGGAAGTCGCGCATATCTTCGATTTTGCTTCCTGAAAATGATTTTAGCGACTCGCCGTTCAGCATCAGATAACTCCCAGCCGTGGACATGTTGGACTATTGAATCTCCAGCTATAAATACAAGCTTACTAGGTTGATTTGCAGTGCCCTTTTGAGATGTAGCGGCTCTCTTCGAATTCGCAGTACGATAACTACGATTATTATCATTGGACTTTGAATTAGACTTTTTGCTCTGACCATAAGATTGGGTTGACTGATTTTTCTTTTGTGCATTATCATACTTCCTCGAGTCGACGTTTGGGCTATTTAGTCCAGATTCCGATGGCAATACAGTGTTGAGCTTCAAAGTACTATCATCTACATTTGTGTCGCTTTCATTATTAGAACAACTTTCCACAGACAAGATATCAAACTTATTTGATGTTTTTGTCACTGCCTCTGGTGCTTGATTATTCTGATCAGTCATGCGTACGGTTATATTATGCCCATCATTAGAGGAAATATTATGTGCATTACTTTGTGCTTTAGACCTTGAAGTTTGCCACGAACTGCAAGCCGAATCTCTGTTATTTATTGTTGCTAAATTGTTGTCTTCTTGTAATAGCTTTATAGCAGTGACTAGACTAAGCTTTTCACTTTCGATATCTTTAATTTTGGTGTTTAGGTCAGAGACAACGTAGGAGACAGAATTGAGTCTATCTTTAAGACTGTCGTTATCGATCCTAAGCTGAATATTTTCTTGTTTGAGCTTACAGTTTTGGGTCTCTAAGTTGGACAAGCAATATTTGGCAAGTTCGTTTGTCCTTTCGTTGAACTGTAATTCTTTTAGCTGATCAAATTGATCTGCAAGAGATTCCTCTATTCGTTGAAGTTCCGCTCTCGTTTTATCAATGTGCTGATCTAGATTTGATTTAATTTCGCTTACCTGATTTTGAAAGTAAACGTTGTCAGAAGAGTCCTTGGCGGTTATCTGAGGGCTTTCTTCCGATTGAACAACTTCGTCTACCTTCCCATGAATTCGAGTTGAAGCTATACTGTCGCCGTCGCCTTCGGCAGAAATCAACTCGTCATCTTGCGTGTCCCCAACACTTTCGTCCATTGGATTTGCGATCAATTTAAGCTCGTTTCGAAGCGATTCACCATCTTGACCTTTAATTGTCAGTGAATTATTTGTTGAGTGCCATCTGATCGTTATATCTTCGTTTTCAAATGATTTACATCCACCTCTGGGCACAAGCCATCTTGAGTCGATCTTCAAGATTTTATCACAAAACCTTTTAAGTTCCTCAAAGCTACCTAACCATTTGAAAGAACCTCTAGTTGTAATGAACAAATCAGCTTGAGAATTGTCTTGATTCATCGCTATATCAATTGTATGTCTCACGAAATTAAGTTCTTAAAATCAATTTAACAGAGCTCTAAAAGCACGTCCGTCTCGCATGAGCTGGTAACGATAGTAACAATATCACAAGCAACGGTAAGATGCAGAGGAAGACGTGTAATTACGGTTGCCATTGAGTAATTTTAAAAAGAACAAAACAATAGACACTCCGAAAATAGTTAACATTTTATTCAACGTTTCGACTTGAAACCTAGTCGAAACGTTGAATAAAATGTTAACTATTTTCGGAGTGTCTATTGTTTTGTTCTTTTTAAGACGTGTAATGGCTTTTGCTTAATCTGAAATTGAAGGCTATAACGAAGGTTGACATCTATGGCTGATCTTCTCAACATGTTGTCACGAGTATAGAATTCAGTACAGGAGATCGAAGTACTTGGTGTAATGTCGCTCGAAAGAAATCATGTGTGGCGAAAGTAGAATATTTAGATTTGTTTGCCATAGTAGCCCTAGCAATGTTTTACTCACGAAATGGAATCCTGTGTTAAGGCTGATAAGAAGGTTGTCATGCGTTTATGTGTCAGTGGTGTTGTCCTAATTTTTTTAACAAGGGGGGGAGCTCATCTACAAAGATCGAGGCCTTAAGGCAATGAACCACAAGAATATTTTTATACTCAGGTCTCCTAAACACGATTTTCTGCATTTCAAGTAATAATTTTATTCATATTAAACATGATGAATATACAATTACATACAGTCAACAGGGATCATCAGTTTGCCATACTACCATCCTGGATATATGGAAAATAGCATTACTGGTGTGATTTTAAAAAGCAATTAGAAATAAATGGCTGGAACAGTAGCGGTATTTTAATTGTAGAAGAATGCCAAATCGTATCAAATTAGTAAAAATGTGTTGCATTTTCAAAGTCTATTTCAGTCTTGCCAAGAATCTCAAGGGGCTAAGTCCCCCGAACTGAATGGAAATTTTAGCAAGGGGGGCTCAGCACCCCTGACCTCCCTCCACTACACCACTGGTATGTGTGTATGTATGTATGGTAAATATTTATCATCAGTGGCGTAGCCAGCCCGACGATTTAGTCCCGCTATGCAAATTCAGAATTATTACCATTATTCATTTCTTTAGAAATTGATTGTTTTCACAGACAATGAACACGAAAACATTCGCATTGCGGGACTAAATCGTCCTGCTAGCTACGCCACTCTTTATCATTTATTTTTTAAACAATAAATTCTTACTTTGGAGAAGGACAGCAGAGTTCAACACCGTTTATGTCGCACACAAATAAGTCTTCAGGCTATACAAAACCAAAAATAATTAGTATTTAACGAACAACGCCTAAGTAATGGGAAGTGGGAGGAGGGATGCGATGAGCAATAACGAAGAGATATGAAGGATTCTTTTGTAGTTCTCCCTTTTTAATTTTCTTCAGTTGATAAGATTGACCAGCACATTTTGGAATAACTTTTTTCTTCCTGTTATTTTGTGGGGGATTTAAATGAGCTCATAACAGCTTTTAATTTTCTATTTTCCGTGGAATAACAATATTAAGAGGCAGTCCGTGTAAAAACCGACCACTCGAATTTCTTAAGATTACAGATTTCCTTCAAACTTTCTGTGTGGAAGAAGTCATTCATAAAATGAACAAAAAACGTTGACTTTGAAATTGTAGTCAGTTTTAAAATTTTTTCGCAATTATTTTCGGACGCGTTCGAAAACAAGTTAAAACGTTAATTACGCAAGTGATATTTGAGCTTTTTTATATCTCACAGTTCATCTCGCGCTTTTATTCTAACTTCTTGAAACTTACATATTTTATTATTTCCTGCCTAGGCATAAACCTAGACGAAAAATTATCCTGATCACTTGAAGCAAACAAAATATTGTGTATTTTTAAAAAACGTCTTTCGGACAGCTGATTAAATATTCGTGTCAGTATGCTGGCGGTAAATTATTTTTTCTCAAAAGTGCAACGGTATCAGGTATCCAATCTATTGCAGCTTCTGAGTATTATGACACATCTACTAGAATAAATAATAAAATCTTTGGGCAGTTTGTTTTTCGCTTGACAAGCGCGTCATGAATATAGTCAATTTTCGCTAATTCGACTAATTATAAGCTATAATTTGTTAATGCATTCACTTAAATTTTTCGCGTTAAAAACATACAAAACTGTTTACTGTTTCAAATATGGTTCTTTTTTGGATAGAGAGTAAGTTATAAATATGCCAGCAATTATATATGCTTGAAATTTTACGTTTATGGGTATCATTAAATACTACATGCATGGTATATATAAACAAAAATGTATAAGAAAAGTGCGGGAAAGGATATATGTGTGCCAATTTATACGAATGCCTTGAAGGAGCACTTTTTTCTCATCATAGATATAGTGCAGATTTATTTTGCCACTATAATATGAAACAAATATTTTATACATGTTTAATATTTTCATGTTTTTTAAGAACTGCAATTACATGCTGATCTCGGTTAAGGTCCTGTCACACTATTGCGTATGAGAGAAACGTATGAGTAGCGTAAACCATGCATGTGCATGGATACGTCCGTATACTCGAAAAAGTTTTAACCATGCTTTATACCTTGCATGGTTCCCCGATTTTTAAATAGACACCTTACGATTTAGGACAGCAACGGCTACAAATACAATAAATAATTAAAAAGAATTCAATAATTGCAATATATGAAAATTTAGACATTGTCCTCGCTTTGTTTACAACGCCAAATCACAGATTTTCACGTCTTGATATAACGGCTGCATTTCAAGCCGCAACAAGTGCAACTTCAAACTGGCTTCAGCAGAACTCTTCCCAAACATAAAACCCATTAAATTCATACGATTGTATTAAATTCATACGATTGCTAATATACCACGAATTGTCTTTAGGCCACTATAAATTTTGCTGTATATTAGTTTCTCATCCCCGCCCGCATGCTTTTTTAAGAAAATGGCCTTGTTCGCCATTATTATTGCCATTTTTGACCATTATTATAAATTTTGTGATGTCTTCAAAATGAAATTTGAAAGAAAGACAATTAGAAACGTTCCAAAACCAAATGTTTTAGTTAAAATACAAAATTTCATAACCAAACTGCAAGTTTTTCCCGCATTACGTACACACTTATTATTAAATATCCAAACTCAGCTATAAAAGTTCTACCGGACGCCAGGGGCAGGGGAGAAAAACGCCAGACGTTCTGGGTACAAAATTATGAAAACATGCTTTCAGTTGCACTTACTGATTTTGTGCTGTTTTCCAGAAAGTTGCTATATAAATGCTTAATGCGCACTTCTCCAAAATAAATTTTATGGGGAGGGGAAATCCAGCAAATAATGGCATAATGGTATTGTCCCGCCAGCACGCATCCACTTTAGGAGAAGCTCCGGATGAGAAACTCCGGATGAGAAACTAATATACAACAAATAGTGGGCTTAATACTACCATTTATTTGAGGGAGTTTGTTTTGGCCGTCGTCGTTGCGTTGTCGTCCTAAAATCGTAAGGTCTCTAATAACCCCTCCGTGTGATCGTTAAATCACTTGCCGTTAGATGCCTCTATATATACACCCTTTAGTTACTGCTTCGCCCTTTCAGAGAGATTACGACATGCAGTCTTGGTTCATTTATTTGTTTGAGAATAAGTTTCACTTTCACTTAATATATACGCTTACTAGCCTACATGTTTCGTCGGTTTTAATATAGCCTAATAGCTCAAAGCAACAAGAAAGAAATTCGTTTTTTACGGCAAAACGTTTTTGTATACCCAACCATGCATGTATTAAAGTTGATTGTTTATAGATTCTAATTTCGTACCATGTCTCTCTATGCACATGAGTGCAATATAAATGTACAGTAGTATACTCATAGGCGTACGGGATTCATATATCTATTGGAGGAGCTGTGGTCTATATTGCCCGAAAATATTTGGGCCCTTTCTTGACTTTTCTTTGGGGTATTTTACCCCCCCCCCCCCAACTTCAACGAGTTAAAATTGTAATGATTTTACGATATAAATATACTGTTAAGAAAGCGAAGAAACACTTGAAATTACGCGTTGACCGACTTCAAGCGATGACGGGGATTACATATGACAGAACCGCTTTTCACGCGAAAAACATTACTCTCTAATAAATTGTATAATATACTTTCTTCTAATATTCTCCTGTGATAGATGTGTACATTCGGAGGAAATCGGTGCATATAGTTTTAGTTACCAAGATCAGTATGTTTACAGTTCTTTCATACATGCACTGATAAATAATAAAAAGATAATACCGGCGGATAAAATTAGCAACGCGTGATTGTCAATTTCAGTCGGCACATGCGTCAGGACTTTTGCTCTATGTTATAAAGCTAGCATAAATCTGGCATATTTATAACTTAGTCTCTATCCAAAAAACAGCCATATTTGAAAGATAGTGAACAATTTTGTATGTTTTTAACGCGAAAAATTTAAGTAAATGCATTAACAAATTATAGCTAGCTTATAATTAGTCGAATTAGCGAAAATTGACTATATTCATGACGCGCTTGTCAAGTGAAAAACACACTGCCCAAAGATTTTATTATTTATTCTAGTAGATGTGTAATAATACTCAGTAGCTGCAATAGATTGGATACTTGATACCGTTGCACTTTTGAGAAAAAATAATTTACCGCCAGCATACTAACACGAATATTTAATCCGCTGTTTGAAAGACGTTTTTAAAAATACACAATATTTTGTTTGCTTCAAGTGATCAGGATAATTTTAGTTTAGGTTTATGCCTAGGCAGGCAATAATAAAATATGTAAGTTGCAAGAAGTTAGAATAAAAGCGCGAGATGAACTGTGAGATATAAAAAAGCTCAAATATCACTTGCGTAATTAACGTTTTAACTTGTTTTCGAACGTGTCCGAAAATAATTGCGAAAAAATTTTTAAAACTGACTACAATTTCCAAGTCAACGTTTTTTGTTCATTTTATGAATGACTTCTTCCACACAGAAAGTTTGAAGGAAATCTGTAATCTTAAGAAATTCGAGTGGTCGGTTTTTACACGGACTGCCTCTTAATATTTAGTACATGGTCGTGCATTCCTCATGTTAGAAAGTCTTGTAGATGAAAACTTTGAGTGTAAATTTAATGCATTCTTGGACCTAACCAGGATCAGCTGCGAAAAATCCAACCATGCATGGGCCCTGTGGTAGGAATAGAACCAGCCGCCATGGAGTACTCTAGTCGATTAATCATGAGCTACGGATATAGTTGTCGAGCTTTAACCTCGAGATATTCATACAACAGTAAATTAATTATTATTTTATATGTGGAACACAGACATTTTCACGTTGTGAATATATTTTAATTTAAGAGATATTATCACGTTAAGGGATATTACAACAGACATTTTCAATTTAAGGGATATTATTGCAAACATTTTCACGTTGTGAGTATATTAATTTAATTTAAGGGATATTATAGAAGGAAGGTGGAATTTTGCATGTTTTTTAAATTATGGTTTCCGAAATACAACTCTCAGCAATATTTTAAACGTGACATTTTACAATTATGTAAGTCGGTACTAAGCGTAAATCTTGATGTATGACCAGTTCCTGACAACTGTCATAGCACCTAATGTGTAATGGGGAAAAAATATGGTTTTCTTAGCTGTTTGAACATACCTTCACTCTCTCCTTGTGAACTCCAGAGGGTGCAATAAAGATCTCATTTCTACAATGAAAAAAAGTTTCGTTTTTTATGAAAGTTCAGTTGAAGGTACATATACTCAGAACATTCATAACTCATCTACTCTTACACATCCATCAGAAGGAGGAAATATCTAAATGCAGGAACCCATATACTATGAATTGATGCTATGTTTCAACGACAGAAAAAATTACCAGAAGTACCCAGCAATAAGGAAACAGCGAAAATCCAAGCTGGAATTGCAGAAAAAAAAATGACTTGCAAGTATCACAAGAAGAAGCTGAAAACGAAACGCAGTTCGCATGCAGATGATAAAAGATATTCCAAATCAAAGAAGATCACATATATATTGAGGAAGCAAATGCTGTGTTAAGGTACCAAAAAAGGGGGAAGCTACAAACACCATTTCAACCAACACCTATACTTATCAAATTTTTACATAAAATGTCTTTTAAGAACCAAACTAAAATTGTACAGTGTGGAAACAAAATTCCGTGAACTAATCAAGGAAATAAGAAAGAAAACTAAACCAACAATAAAATCATAAATAATGATTATTTACGATACTTAAAACTGGGCAAAAAGGCAGTAAAATAATTTGCACGGGCAGGATTTGTAAATAATTTACCGAGACGACAATAATCCATCTTTTATAAAGTCATACTACGGCTTAATGATCGATGAACTTAAGAATGTACGGTAAAATTAAAATAATGTGCAGATATAACCGAAATAATTGTTCGCACACCTTAATCTGTGGTGTCAATGATTATTTGTTTCATTCCAAGTTTGCATAAAATCGAATATTCGTTTATTAGGCACAATCAGCAGGTTACAATATTTCAGGCAATAATGACCCAAAATATATCATTCGAAAGCTCGTTTCTTCTATTTTTGTTTGTTTACATTTGGTAATCCTTTTAGTAAAGGGGTAATAGGGGGCATTGACGTAAGGAATGTTTCGCCCGGGATTCAAATGTCCGCGATTTCTAGCGATGTTCCCAAGAGTGTTTTTAAGAGATGCTCTCCTTATGAGCACATCTATAAAGTGATTAACCTTCACCCGAAATAGTTTGGGCTTTGGAACTGATAAATAAAAGCCTTATGGTTTCTACAAGGCGAATTAAAAAAGAAAAACTTTGGCGAATTAAAAAAGAAAAACAATAAAATTAATAATTAATTAACCTAATTATAAGTCAACGAATGAGTTAACCTAATTCAATATATAAATTATAATTTACTTCACAGCTTCGTATCGAATATTCGATGCGAAAATTAGTACTAGTACAAATTTAAATATAAGTGTGGCATTCAAAATGAATTAATATACCCATGTTTGATGCTGATCCCTCCTCCGGTGCCAGTAACCCAATCCATGTGATAAAACTGACGCAACAGCTCAGGAATAAGATTTCTTGGGTGTTCGGGATCCTAAAAATACAACATACAATACTGTACATACCAGTTCGTGAGCTCTGTGTATAACTGGAACACGAGCTTGAGTCATTCAGCCCATAAGAAAAGTGCAGAACCCAAGATGGCGGAATTGACGTCCAGTAGCTATGAAGGTTGTTATCAATTTTAATACAATTTTGCAGTTAATTCTAACTGACCGTATCGCTAATAAAGTTATTGGTTCATGAAATCATAAGGTTACTTATCATACTGTCTGCATGAAATCTAGAGTGAATTTTACTAAATACACTAAAATCCACCTAGTCATTCCAAGCCTATCAAACAGTGAGTAGTTGATATGAAGCAAGAATATTAAGAACTATTACAATATAGTGTCATGCATCAAATAAGGACAGTCTGGCTCCGTCAGGATTCCAAGAAACTATCCGCTAGGCTAGGCCCCAGAATGTGGCGAAAATATGGGCCCAAGAGTGCTCTCGCAATATTATGTAAAGTATATATGCTAATGTAGTTTTTCCTCGCACCTTTCAGATAGCTTTGCTGCCCCGGATGTGAAACACACTATCCAGCTGAATTGGTCGCTGTGTTTTCAGCTGTACATATATTATAATATTGTAAAATAATTTAGTTCTTTCATTTTTATTTCTAATTTATGGAATAGTTATAAAGTAGCCAATCAGAAACGATCCCAGATTCCAGTTGTCAATGTCTAGCAAAATTTCTTAATTTTAAATAAGTTATATTAAGTATGTTTTCAAGAAAGAGATATTTGTTACTGTAATCAATTCACTAGTATTCAAGGCATTTTTTAATACCATGAACTGGTGGGGCATTTTCCCCACTAGGCCCCTCCCTCTGCCCCACTACTGAAGAAAAAAATATGGCCTATTGCCCCAAAGCCAGGGCCCTAGGACCTGTATTGAGTAAATTAGTTTAACGTTGAAAACAAGTTTAAAAACAAAATTTGTTGGTGAGCATACTTAAACTTATGTTGTGTTTGAATGTTTAGCATGCAATTTATCAAAAATTTCGGCATTAAAACTTTGTTTTGAGAAGCTCGAGATTTTTTTAAAAATGTGTTCTCAGAATGCAGGAAATGCTATTTCAGAGACCCAAATTAAAAAAAATTCCTGGGGACATGCCCCGAGCTTTAACCCCACTAATGAACTTGGCCTGCGATACTCTGCTCACACATTCGGCGATGTAATTTTTTTCCTTAGACAGTCTGACTCCTCATTGATCGACTCTTAGACAGTCTGACCCCTCATTAGACAGTCTGACTCCTCATCGTCCCACCAAGGGTGTAACCCAGCTCGCTTGTCACTCATTTTGTAGCTGCTTTGCCGCTTGTTTTATTGTAATAAATGTCGCTGTCACTTTTGACCCATAACACAAATCGCAATTTGTCGCTTTTTCCTAGTCAGAAGTTGTTGTTTGTCGCTCTTTTTTAGATAGTCTGTCGCCTCTTTTTAAGGAATGTTGCCTGTCGGTCGTGACCCCTTGGCAGGCCTCATTGATAGCCGGACGCATCATTGATCCGCGTCCAGGTCTTCGCGCGTTATCGATTGATCGCTTCGTACCCTGCGTACACCATATATCTATCACTCCACGTTGTTCTTCTTCAACCACGTGTAAAAAGATGGACGATTTGCTTTGCGGTGCCATAGTAAATCTACAAACTTGTTGTTTTTTTCTGGTTCTGTGAACACTCAAGAATTGTTATTGCGAGCTAAAACTATATATCTTCCCAATTGAAGAGAGGATGTATTGCAGAATACCCGCCAACTAATACTAGTAATATCATATCATGTAGCCCGGCCACTATTTCACTGCATACGTATATACTACTGGTATCCCGATCTTATTGCGTCCTATCCATGTTATTATTTCTTCAGATTATGGAATCAAAAACAATGAAACTTACAAAGAGTTACAAAAGGAAAGAAAAGAGTTACAAAAAAGTGTTACAAAATAGAGTTCACAAAAGAAAAGAAAAGCAAGTGGGAATGGCGAAATATATAACTTAATAAAATATGGCAGATGTGATCACCACACAAGATATGAAGCCACAATGTGTCCTGCTCAGATTTTGGCATCTGAACCAACCAATATCTTGAAATTAGATGGTTGTCCAATACTGTCGAACGTATACGGATCGTAAAGATGGTAAAACATTGAACACAATCCGTACGGTCCGTACGAACTGTAAAATGGCTTTACGGACCGTGTACGAACCGTACGGTTCGTGAAAATGAGTTTACGGATCGTGAACCTACTTTGTCGATAGCGATGTCGTGTTTAAGTCAGGGCATAAAAGTTTGTCGATCCGTACGGATCGTACGGTTCGTACGAACTGTGAAATGGCTTTGCGGACCGTACGATCCGTACGGTTCGTGAAAATGAGTTTACGGATCGTGAACCTACTTTGTCGATAGCGATGTCGTGTTTAAGTCAGGGCATAAAAGTTTGTCGATCCGTGCGGATCGTACGGTCCGTACGAACTGTGAAATGGCTTTACGGACCGTACGATCCGTACGGTTCGTGAAAATGATTTACGGACCGTGAACCTACTTTGTCGATCCGTAAAAAGCGTCAATGGGTGATGTTGTGTTCAAGTCAGGGCAGAAAAGTTTGTCGATCCGTACGGATCGTACGGTCCGTACAAACTGTGAAATGGTTTTACGGACCGTACTTTTCGTGCCCAATCTTTCACTCGCTCAAGGCAATAATTAAATACATGATGGCGTCGTATACGGTTTTCCATGTCGAAAATATATTCTTCTTGTCAGATTATAGATGATTAGAAGTGGTTTTCCCGTTGTGGAATAACTGACGTGTGGCTGTGTGCTAAAACTACGGACAGAACAATAGTGGCGTTTGTGAATGAGACCATGTTATAAGGCAAAAAAAGCGTATACCAAAGTATTAAATGACAATATTATGTCAATGACAATGACATTATAATGCTGGATGATTCCGTTTGGCACCTGCCGTCTGCCAAAAAGATACTTGATAGGTATAGCATTCAAATGTGCAGTATATAACATCCAGTTTACACTTGGTTTTATGCACATTTATCTAATGATTGCGTGTAATTATATGAACAGACAACGTGAAAAAATTTTAAAAAGCAAGTATTGATGAAAAATTTCCACGCGCGAAAAGTTTTTGCAGGCATAATTTTTTCTAAGGCCGCGGCTAATTAAGGGTGGTTATGAATAGAAGGAATTGAGGGATGCCTTATTACATGCTAAACTTCAGCAGTTAGGTAAAGGCAATGTTAATTTAACAGCGCTGTGCCGACAAAGCAATTGTGTCATCGGATTGGGAATATTTGTGTATAAATATTACCTGATATACAGTGCGTCTAAAAACGCAAGCCAATTTTAGCATGAATTTGTGCGTTAATTAATTACTCGCCGCCGTTTTGAAAAACAGCGGGATTTGAGTTTGCAACTTCAGGAAGCGAGCAACGCTAATCGCATTATTAATTTCCGCTATAAGATGTCATCAATCCATCTTCAGTTGCTTAATAACGCAGTGTGAAACCAAGCAAGTAATAAGTTAATTTTCTGTAATGCATAGCGTGAATAATTTCTGTTAGAGAATAGCGTGAATAATATTCAACCTAGATTTTGTTTATGTTCAAAGTATGGCATGATAATTCCATATCGAAACGTCGAAACTTATTTGGCGTCGTTATAGATCCGAGCAGTATAAAAAGTGCGGCGGCTTCAATTACTTATACACGCATACCGCCTTTCCTTAGGCCCTAGTGCGCACATGAATCTGGCACAAACGTTTTCACCATATTCACCAAGATATATTTACATATTATTCCAAAATAACTCAAGGTTTCCGCTTGTGAAAGCCTACGTTTCAGTTCTCTAAACGATTCTTGCTGCTCAGGACCAGAAACAAATGGTACTCCTCGCTTCGTCAATCGTCTCATTGGCTCTGCAACAGTTGCGATATCTGGAATAAATCTTGCATTGAAATTCACCAAGCCCAAGAAACTCTTCACTTCTGTTACATTCTGCGGCTCTCTGTAGGACCAATACCACGGTTTGACAGGAGTAAGCCCATGAAAGTAAGCTTCGGCATATCGAAAACGCATTTCTCTTTGTTTAAGGTTAAACCTCTTTCCTCGAGTCTTGTCAGCACTTTTTCTAGTCGCATGTCATGTTCAGCTTGATCAGAACCATAAATTATGATGTCGTCCGAGATGTTGGCTGTCCCACTGCAATCCTACAACACTTGTTGAATCACCTGCTGATACTTCTCTGGCGCTGAACTTATATCGAACATCAACCTCTTGTATCTGAACAAGCCCTTGTGCGTCACGAAAGTTGTGATGCTTCTGGATTCTTCACTTAATTCTATCTGGTGGTACTCCCACTTGAGATCTAGCTTGCTGAAAACACCTCCCTCTTGCATATCTTGGAGTATTTCAGTTGGAATCGTGTTGTCTCTCCCTTATAATCGCTTTGTTGGCACACCGCATATCCACACATAACCGGACCTCACCATTCGTCTTTGGCACCACCACAACTGGAACTCGTCAAGTTTTTCCTCGATCTTTCCTCTCAAGCTGAATGCAGTCCGCCCAACAGACTGTGCAACTGGTTGAACCTGCGGATCAATATGCAGCTTCATTTGATACTCTTTCAGTTTCGCAATGCCTTGGAAGAAAACTTTATGTCTCGCAACACGATCAGTCACACTGTTCACAAACTGTTTTGGAATTTGTAACTTTAGGACTCCAAGCTCGGTTGATGTCTTTCTTCCCAACAACGGCTCCCCCTTTCCTTCGATAACTGTGAATTCTGTTGTCACGTGTCTATCAGCTATATTTACATCTGCTGTGAATGTTCCTATTACTGTAAGGGGAGTTGTTGATCCATAGGCATACAGTTTCTTTGTGGTTTTCCTCGAAGTGCATTTAATGTGTTTTTTTTCTTTAAATCTTCCCACAGATGTTTGTCAATGACATTCGTACTCGCTCCGGAATCAATGACCATTTCCAATTGAACACCTCCAACGCACACTGTCACTTTCCCTGTGTCCAATGTTTCTTTAACAGTAAAGGCATATTCATCTTCTTCATCGACAAAACTCACTCTTGGTCTGCCATGATATTTACATTTGGTTTTATACCACAGCAAAATGACATTTCTGGTGACACTTGGATCATTCCTTTTGCAGGGCATCTGGGATCTCCGGAAAAATGTCCTGGTTTTCCCCATCGAAATCATTCACCACTCTTCTTAACTTTTCCACCTTTCTCACCTTTATTTTCACGTCTGTCTTGTCGACCAGGCCTTTCAGAAACTCGGTTCACTCCATCATTATGAACACTCGTACTCTTTGCTTGTCGTTTCACAGCTTCAGACGTTCTTGCTATTTCTTGTAATTGTCTAAGGTTAAGCGTCTGACCCTTCTCCAGAAACTTCCTGCGCAGATCATTCGACCGACACCTGGAAATAATTTGATCCCTGATGTGTGACTCCACCTGATCTCCATAATCACACTGCTGAGCTTTACGTCGCAATGTGCCATTTCTCTGAACATGTGTCGCTCTTACGGAACATTGACTTGTGTGACAAAATGTCTGATTAAAGCTTCTTTGGCCTTCTCGTATTCTTTTGCGAACCCCGTCTCAGGCAAAACATCGAAAATATCCTGGACATCCAATCCAGCACAATGAAGTAGAAGTGCTCGTCGCTGTGCCTTATTGTCGTCTTTTCCGGCCTGAATAACAAGCCCTTTACCGTCAGCATATAACTGAAAACTGCGAAGCCATCTTTTTCATTCACACCCAACACTGTTCGGATCACTGTTCACATCAAACGGTCAAAATCCTCCGATATCAAACTCTTTTGAACTTATTTTCGTTTAAAACTATAGTTCAACTCTTTAAGACATCCTTGTCGCCAATTGTAGAATCTAACAAAGACGGATTGAACCACAAGACAACCGATTACAACCACACTAACCAAGTATATATTTTAGAATACAAAATGGCCGCCTGCCATTGCTTATATCATGGAACTAAAAATAACTGGAACGATACCTCCAACCGGAAATGTGAAGCAATGCCCAGGCATGCCCACTGTTGTCATGCCCAGTCTTTTCACGTAATGGAAAAACGCGGTTTTTTTAAATTGTCAAAACTGGGTAAAAAAATGCACTAAAACATCGTTTAAAACGACGTAAAATGCACCTACCAGTACATTTTTTACAATAAAAACATCCTTCAAAACTCTAGAGTAAAATATTTTTAATTTATTTGTGTAGAATTCGTAATTAAATTTTCTTTTTTTGAGGAAAAACGTTAAGCGAGGAGTGGAGCTTGCCGTGGTCTAATCATAAATATTTGTGTGAATTTCCCTATTTTGCTCATTCGTTTTCGAATTTAATTCTTCTGAAAGTTAGGAAAAAGGTATTCTAACAAAATCAAACTACCATCCACAGTTTAATTATGTTTTGTAGTAGAGTATTTATTAAGTTTTAAAAGTACAAAATAACAAATATAAACATTGAAGTTTTTTTTCGCGGACAAGTATTTCATGTTGCGATTATTCATATTCGGAAAGAAATACACAGAAAAAGTGGTCAACGAAGGAAAACAAAGTGATAGATACAGACTAAATAAACTTATCTTGTTTAACAGTCAATGAAGTTGTTATAAATATATGTTTAATACGTTAAAATAAAGAATTACTTATCTTTCTCAAGTTTCATCTATAAACGTTCTAGTCATTCAAATATGCACTTGTTGTCTCTAATCGGTTACTTTCTTCCTTGCAGTTTTAGTCGGTAGGGTTCAAGATATGTTTTAAATACACTTTTAATACAAAAATATCGCTTAAAACCCCAAATAAACGACAATTTACGATCCATTCGCCCGAAAAAACATTGATGTATGCATGCCTCACTTCGCCGAAATCGTCTGCGAGAATGTCTCGCAACACAAACGCGCGTGTCTGGAGGTAGAACACGCGCGGCTGGTGGTAAAATTTGGCTTCATCCAATCATAAGCCAATCCTATTGGAGGTAGCGTTCCAGGTATTTTTAGTTCAATGACTTATATTTACATGGTGCTTCCACATGGTTCTTCCACAACATTTCATAATATAATATATGCTAAATATCCATAGAAATAATAGACATAGAATGCGTGCTCGTATCTTTTCTCAGTAAATATTTTGTCTCCACAAAAAGGCGGATTTATAGGGGCATTATGGCTAGTCTCAGACTCATGTGGCGGGGAATTTCGCGCGGTTGGCGGGAGTGCGAATTGTTTTTTTTTTTCAACAAAGTTTGCAAAAAACAATTATATCGAGACTTGAAGTGGAAAAATATATTTTTAAAGGAGAAAAACCCATTCCCGTGTGGTTTTTTACGAAAAGCAATAGTTCTGAACAGAATATATACAGAAATCGTCGTTTGAAAATACATTTTCAACGTTGTTGTGCAAGCCAAAACAAAACACGAAAGATCAAGACAAACTCAAACTCAATAGGTATGTTTTAAAAAAATATATTTCAGCTGGTTTATAATATAAATGGAGTTCAATATTCTTTTTAAACTTACACAACTACTTTTTATATTTTTCTATACGTTGCTTGAGCTTGAGGCAACGCTTTTGAAACCTTATGTTTTCGACTTTTCGACGATTATTTAGGCGATTTACACTTTATCGACAACTAAATATTTTTGTTTCAAAAACATGAAAACACATCGTTTAGATTGAAGAAAAACGAAACCCGACGAATAATGAACTATCATTTCGTAATTTCATAAAATATTAGCGAAACAGTTAATACGTTCAGAGCATGCAAAAATGTTTTATGAGTAAACTATTTTATACGCGAAACTACTTTGTTTTTACAAGGCTGCACGGTTATCGTTCCATGTTTCGCGAGTAATGTCCAATACAGGCATCTGATGTCTGATGGTGAAGATGGTGTACGGTGGTGTATGATGGTTGAAGTGTGTCAGATGGTTGTCAGATGGTGTATGATGGTGTATGATGGTCGAAGTGTGTCAGATGGTTTGTCAGATGGTGTATGATGGTGTATGATGGTCGAAGTGCGTCAGATGGTTGTCGGATGGTGTACGATGGTGTAGGGTGGTTATACAGGGAAGGGTTGTCAGATGGTGAAGATGGTACAGATGGTGTATGATGGTCGAAGTGTGTCAGATGGTTGTCAGATGGTGTATGATGGTGTATGATGGTCGAAGTGTGTCAGATGGTTGTCAGATGGTGTATGATGGTGTAGGGTGGTTATACAGCGAAGGGTTGTCAGATGGTGAAGATGGTACAGATGGTGTATGATGGTCGAAGTGTGTCAGATGGTTGTCAGATGGTGTATGATGGTGTATGATGGTCGAAGTGTGTCAGATGGTTTTCAGATGGTGTATGATGGTGTAGGGTGGTTATACAGGGAAGAGCTGTCAGATGGTGAAGATGGTACAGATGGTGTATGATGGTCGAAGTGTGTCAGATGGTTGTCAGATGGTGTATGATGGTGTATGATAGTCGAAATGTGTCAGATGGTTTTCAGATGGTGTATGATGGTGTAGGGTGATTATACAGGGAAGAGTTGTCAGATGGTGAAGATGGTACAGATGGTGTATGATGGTCGAAGTGTGTCAGATGGTTGTCAGATGGTGTATGATGGTGTATGATGGTCGAAGTGTGTCAGATGGTTGTCAGATGGTGTATGATGGTGTATGGTGGTTATACAGCGAAGGGTTGTCAGATGGTGAAGATGGTACAGATGGTGTATGATGGTCGAAGTGTGTCAGATGGTTGTCAGATGGTGTATGATGGTGTATGATGGTCGAAGTGTGTCAGATGGTTTTCAGATGGTGTATGATGGTGTATGGTGGTTATACAGGGAAGAGCTGTCAGATGGTGAAGATGGTACAGATGGTGTATGATGGTCGCGGGGTGTCATTCGCTGTAGGATGCTTATATTAGATATTACATTGCTATATTTTATACTTACATACACTTTAGCCAACTATGGTATGTGTATAAAAAATATGTTATATCTAACATTGCGGTTCTCGTGTGGGACGTAATTCAAAGTATTTGGCAAAATATATATTTAAACACATTTGACAGACATGTTGGACGTAATAAATAAAAATATAATATGAATATATGATATTTCGATCACGTTGCGGTTCTCATGTGGGAAACGCAATTTAAAGTATTTGGCAAAATATATTAAAACGCATTTGGCAGACATGTTGGAGGTAGTGAATAAAAATATAATATGAATATATGATATCTCACAATGCGGTTCTCATGTGGGAAAGGTAATTCAAAGTACGTATTTGGCAAAATATATTTAAACGCATTTGACATGCAGTCATACAGTTCGAGGTAACAACTAACAAATAAAAATATAATATATATGATACAGTATCTCACAATGCGGTTCTCATGTGGGAAACGTAATTCAAAGTATTGGGCAAAATATCACATTTGACAGAGATGTTCGAGGTAATAAAAATTGAATTTTGCTGTGACATATCGCGCGACGTTGACAGAAAAGTCTTCATTGTAGGCTTTTATTTCTACAAGCAACAGTTTCTTACTGTAATAACACCAATTCGGTTGGATAGATTTACTGTATAGGGGCGTCATGTTTGAACTCTATTGTATGTAAGGGGAATAGACGACTAGTGTATGGGAGAAATTTTGAGGCATCCAAGGGAGACATTTATCTCATAAATCAAAGAGTTGAAATTTGAGACGGCTTCCGTTTTTGTGTTCGGGTCTTAATTATGCTATATTGGTTTATAGCGCCCTGGTTGAATGTCCAAAACTTCGTAAGTACTGTAGATTTACAGCCATGCCTTCGCTTACCGATAACAATCGTTTTGGCACTGTGAAGGTAGCCGCGGATTGGGCCCCAGATTCGGCCTTAGATTGGACCTCACATTCAACTGTATTCAATTATTCAAAAGTAGATTATTTGAACCCCTTTTCTGGCTACTTTTAAGGTATTTTTACTTTAAATTAGCAGTAACATGAGCAATGCAAACTCCTGCACCATACAGCTGAGTTTCGAAACAATTAGGGAGGCCGATTTTGTATAAACGCTTGCTGAATATAGATGTTAGCACAGTGTAATACTATTGTCTAACATTTAATATATAAACAAAAGAAATGAGTGTAATTCTATAAACAAATTAAAGCAATAAGCACCTTATTAATCCTTTCCGTTTTATGTATATTTTATTTATTTACTAGCTTTGTCATTAATGATTGGTGATCCCTACAGGGCTTATTGCCCCATTCTCGACAAAGGACGACACGATCGAGTGACACTTAACACAGCCAGTTTTAAACGATTGTGCTACATTAATGTCAAATATAATGGACGTTGGTGAGATGGTACCCCAATTTGCTTCACTTCATTAGAAAGAGCATGAAATACTGCACAATATGTTGAGTTTCACAACAATTAAAAATACAGATCTTGCGGAATATAGATGTTCGCACAATGTAATTCTATAAACAAAATCAATTACCACCTTATTAATCCTTGCCGTTTTGAAATTGGTGATTGTGCCCCAATTTGCGGTACATCATTGGAAAGAGCATGGAATAGCCTACTGCATAATTTTGGTGAATTTTGGTAACCGTTTTATCTACCGTTGCCGTGGTTTTGAAAGTAGTCTTACGCCCGTATTCTAAAAGCTCACTCACACTCAATGAGTGGAAGTTCAGTCTGAGCTTCTCTCGAGTGTCATTGCTGTTTTTGAATGGCTGGAGGGTTAGTGTCGTACCGTTACTATGTGACTATACTCACATTCCCGGCAGCTATTGAAAAACAGCGCTGACACTCAAGAGAAGCTCAGTAGGTTACTAGATTATTATGTCAGTAGGTTACTAGATTTTATATATAAAGAGTTCATTATTATTATTTTTGTATGATGTTAATCTGATAATCTTAGCGTTATTTGTAAATTTGACATTGTATGAGAAGTGGAATTCTATGGAACTTTTTTAGGTGGGAGAATACCTCGCACCTGCGAACAAGCTGGGTATGGGAGACCGATTTTTGACAAGTGTTATATTATTAAGTTCACAATGGCCACGATGCATGCATGCATACAGTGGTTTGAAAATTAAAATTATATAAAAAATATAAATGTATTTGCCAATGGTTTCAGGATATTTTAAGGAAATTTAATATATCGATTTCATAAATGATTATATAATTGTAAAACACCAGTCACCAAAACTGAATCGAAAATGCATGGCTATATTTGGGAGCAATCCCAATAAAACGATCTATTCTGTAACGAGTCCTCCGGTGACTCGAATCATAACTCGATGTGAATCCTCGTGGCTCTGGTTACTAACTCAAAATAGTCGCTATTAGCACTGGCGGCTAAACATGTACAATCAATTAGTCAATGTCAATGGCACATTGTCCTTGCGGACAACGTTACTAAATGTATATACGAAAAACGTCTATACGTGGCCTATAGATGCTTTGTACAATTGAGCATAGAAGCCTTTACGCATCTATAGAGCCCTGTAATTGTCCTTGACGACGTAAATTACAAAATGGGCAGTTATGACGGTTTGAAAACGAGTATAATATAGGCTATTGTATTGCTGTCTTTTCTGACAGTTCTTAACCTTTAAAGTAAATTAGAAAATGATGTAATTATACTCGCTTGCGATAGTAAAATATATTCGTCGTTTTGCAGTGGCGTAACTCCTATGAGCTCTACCCGGTAAGAGCCGGGGGCACCCAGGCAATCTGGCTTCCAGGGGGGCACCCTGAACTGAGTTGTCCGGCGGCCTTGTTTATATAATTTTCGTTTCGTAAAGCTATTAAGAATTTTTGCCGTATTCAGATTTTCTGTATCACAGTTGGTATATAACGTGACTCCAGAAGTTGAAGCGAGCGAGCGAAGCAGCATTCTAATATATGCAGAGAGGTGGTTTTGAAGTAATGTGGGGCCACTGTAATTGGCATAGCTGTTGTGGTTTCCCAGTCAGTGAATGTATAAGTATTATGGCAAAGTAAATAAATAAATTTTATTTAGCGCATTGCATTGTCGTCGTGCGCCCTTGCTATGCACAGAACATAAAATATAAGCGACGTGCGACATACAGTATTTGAGGCGTATTTGAAAGATATCGTTTTGCTTGCTTCGACTTGTAAATTATTTTGACTCAGGCTCTCAGCGTAAGGTTTATTAAAGTTTTAGGGCCTGCAAAAGCCATAATTTAGTGCATAAAATAACGTGACTGCACTTTGTGCCTTGTAATTCACTCAATGGACTTTAGCCACTGAACACTGTTAGTTCTATATTATTATAAAGTTTTGGTTCCTTAGTTTAATTTAATTACTGTGTATATAATGTGGTAAATGCGCCTAGAAGTATAATTAGACTTAATATGAAATCCAATAGCAAAAACTTGTGTTATATAATTTACCTGTACGTCTTAAGAATGCTTTGTCATTTGTATTTATACGCGTACTAAAGCAGCGCGTAATTCAACAGATTCCACTTGGTCTTGGAAATATTATATATTCTGGCTGTAGGCCAGTGGGAGTGTAGGCTATGTCTTAAGAATGTTGGTCGTTTGAATTTATACGCCGGTACTTAAGCAGCGCGTAATTCAACAGATTCCACAGTTACACTTGGTCTTGTAAATATTATATACTCTTGCTTATGCTTTAGTGAATATTACTTCCATAAACATTAACACGCAAGTATTCAATGAGACGCACATGCTTAATTTTTCAGTTTTTTAGTTGTTATTATAATTATTTTTTTATAATAAAAATGGCGCTTGCCATTTCATTTGCCTGGCGAGATCATGGCGCTTGCCATGATCTCAATAGAGGCAGACGAAGCAAGAAAGCTTTCCGTTGACAAAATGATCGATGAGTTTCCTGAAAAAAAAGACCAGGTGCGAGAAATTTAAGATGTACTGTAATGTTACATTTAATTGAGGATGTCATGTGCATAATTACAGTGGCACACACTTCACTCTTTATGTCAAAAACAATTTCCGCATAGTGCTATTTTACAGTTGTTTTCTTTATATTTTGCCATATATTTATATTTCCAGTTTAAAAAATCAATTAAAATTGGCTTCTAAACGACTAGAAAAATGTTCATGTTGTCAGAGCTCCATCTTCAAAATATCTATGATCCCCCGCCTTGGGGGCACCCAATCCCGGTAGTACCAGGGGCGGCCTGGTCCAAACTTACGCCACTGTCGTTTTGTTCTGTTTATAGTTTTAAGTCGTCGCATAATTGAGCGCTGTAGGCACCGCACCGCACTCCGCAGGCTCTTATTACAGTCTATGCATGCATGTATTATGTTCAGTTCCGTGCTCAAACATTTTTATATATTATATTTTCGAGGAGTTTGAAACATATCAGTTGTACCGTATATTGAAATTTTCATTTTGTAATTGGGAGTTAAATTCGTTTGAAAAGTCTGCAAAGATTACGCACATGATCTTCCTAGTGTTTTACTTTAGACTGAGATGCCTGCTGTTTTCTATTTGTCATTGTAGTTATACGGCCGAATTTGAAGCAGTAAAAGGTAATAATGCAATGAATTGCTACATTCAGTTATATAAAGTGCGCACAAGATTAAAACAAGAACCCTGCTGGCTTATGCATGTACTTGTCATTGACATAGCATGGCTGCGTTACAGCCCGCTAGTGCATGTTATAAATATTATAATTTATAGTTTCCTGCCCGGAAATGCCTAAAATGTCAAAGCGAATATAAGCATGTATACATATGAAACGTATAGATACACAATTTTTGACGTTATCAAAGATTGTATAGTAATGCGTTGACGCGTTTGCTACTGCAGTTTACTACATACGAAGCGTGTTTTTTAAAGAACGAGGCAACACTATATAATAATGGACAATTAGCCATAACGCTTTTGTCGTTGGTCCTGTATGTTTTAAAGATATATAGCTACGTAGTTTTGAAAGAACGAGGCAACACTATATATGCACAATTAGCCATAACGCTTTTGTCGTTGGTCTGGTAGGCTTTATTGATATATACGTAGCTTTGAAAGAACGAGGCAACACTATATATATACGCACAATTAGCCATAACGCTTTTGTCGTTGGTCTGGTAGGTTTTATTGATATATACGTGGCGGAAAGAACGAGGCAACACTATATGTGCACAAGTAGGTTAAAAATTAACACTCCCCCCCCATTAAACCATCTTCACCATCTTACACCATATTTACCACCTGACAACAACTGTTCAGCTGAACCATCCGACACCATCCGACACCACACTACAAGCGTCTGACAAACAAAGCATCTGACACCATCTTACACCATCTTCACCACCTGACAACCGATGGCTATATTGGACATGCTCGCTTATAAGTACCCAAAGAAGCTATATATATATATATATATCAAAAACTGGATACTAATAGCTGTTTTGGGAAATGGAGAGCACTTTCAAATCTGTTCAGTTTTTTTTATACACCCTGTAGTGCACGGGAACGGGAACGGGAAGATCCTTATATCAATAATATACATAGTATGTTGCATGTTGCTTCATTTTTAAGAAATCACGCAATATATCAATATAATATATGTTGTTGCTTCATTCAGTTAAGAAATCACGCATCTGATCTGTATGCAGTAATCCATAATTGAAGCCCACTGAAGATTATTTAATTATTTTAATGGCAAAATGTTAAGGAATAGAAAAAATATGACTTTACAATATAGTAAGACACGATACGTTTTATAAAAAGTCTACAGATATTATTTCCATGATTACAGCATAAGCCAGTCCCTAGTTCCAACCGTTGAGAAACGGAGCCTCAAACATAAAGACAAACTGTATATCTGGACAATCTCATTCTCGACAGTCTTATTCTTCTGATTTAACATCTTCAACATTTCGGTAGTTTGATTTTGATCATCGTACCGGTGGTAAAGTTTAGTTTACTTCCTTTATATTTGTTTGAACCTCCCGAATATGTAAAATCTAGAGCAAATTATGATTTACGTGATGATAATCTAATCGTTCCTTTTTCGTTCCTAAAAATATTTCGTTCTAGTCCTTCACTTGATTGTTTGAAAAATAATGTAACAAGACGCCTTGATGCTTCAATTTGTAATCCTTTGTAGTTTGTATTACGTCGGTGATCGTTTACCGGCTATTTTTCATACCTGTTTTAGATTGTCAAACAGTACGTTAAATTATGATCTGTTTTTAAAGTAGTGTGTGTTTCCTTTCCTTCTTGTACATATGGGTGTCCAAATGAGACTACTTCCCACTTCTTTTTTGACTGTAACCGATATGCTGTTCTTCGCGTTAAGTTGTTCAACTCTGTTGCTCTCTTGCTTGGCACCATTTGGTTAATTGCATCCACAAAAATTCGACTTATGTGGCTGCTCAACGGAAATATTTCTGATTTTCTTTTGTTATTAATAAAAGTTTGTACACTAAGTGTTCAGTGTTTTATAGTTGAATCGGGTCGTTTTCCATGTGGCTGCATTTAATCATTTTTGGTGTCCTTTTTAAAAGGCTATATTTGTTTGTCTTTCTCTTTAAAACTGTTTTGTTATATAATTTAATATTGATATTTAATATTGATATTCGACGTTTTTGATATTCGACATTTAATTCATTAAAATGTTGTTAATATAAAAAAAGTAGAAGCCAATTTGTGATTTCACTCTGGCCACCCGGTCAGCCTTTGTTGTAAACGTCAACGTGAACAATAGTTGTCATACCAATAATGTCCCCGTGCAAGTGGCCAATGTGATCACTATGATCTGATAATTAATCAAAGGAAAAAAAAAGTTCAAATGTCATTTCCTCACAGTCGAACGTGTAGTTAAGACATCGCATAATTTGTAGGTCAAAGGCGACACAACTCCTCCAAAATATATGGCAAACGTTACCCTAATTTTCATCCTGTTCGCCTCGTTTACAGCCTTACGCAATACAGCCATGGCGAAAACGCAGAAAAAAACTGAAGTCCTTAACGGTCTCATTACAGCTGCGCAGGAGAAAGTCACTAGCGAGTCAGTAGTGAGCGGTACGAAATCATTCACGAGCTTAGTGGCCAAGTATGCTTTGACGAGAGCAGAGTCCGGTCTTACGATTGCGATCACAAACAATTTGTCTGAACGTGATTTGGTTAATCCGAAGTTGTATCTGGCAGATGGGGATACCGTCAGTCCACCTCCTTTGAAGATTCGAGCTGCCGCTAACCCAAAAGAACGCTTTACCCGAATGAGTTTCTTTAATAAAAAACCAAAAGGAGTGCTGTGCTACGAGTGTCCGATTCCCGGAACATTATTCCCAGGTAGTGGGAATCCTACAACACTGAAATTGATCTGTTTGTACTTCGATGCAGTGGAGAATACGTATGGGCTTACCATTGAACCTAATTTTAGTTCATTGAAATTTGACAGTTCAATTACAGAACCTCAATATTTTGAAGGCCTTTACAAGAAACCCAAACCATCATTCCAATCAGTGAAAGAGTTCGGTGAGTACGTTGCTTTGAAAGATACATCAATTTTAAGCGTGCTTGTTATTTGCCAGATGACTACAGGAAAAAACGGACGGTTGTTTTTCGATATTCAAGACTTGGAGAGCGGGCATGCGCGGAAACGTGAAATAATCACCTTATCTTCGGTAGCAAGTGGTTTTGTTGCTGGAGCGGTGCCTGCGTTAGCAATGGTTGCTTATAGATACGTCACCGCAGAACAAGGCACGGTGTTGACTCTGGAAAATCTATCAACCCAAAAAGATCCTTTTGTTCTGGAAGATCCAATTTGGTACCGGAGTGGTGCCAACGTACAAGATATTATTCCCTGGAGCCTTGGTCCAGCACAGTCAAACGAAATAACAATCCTTGTACCATTGGGCGAAGGAGAAATGTTCAAACATTCCGTTTTTCTCCTGTCGTTCCGAATAAAAGATTTCGGATATCGCGTTCTTCTTGCTGTTTGGTGGCCAAGAAAACTGAACCCGGAAGAGAAGATCAATACCTACGCCTTGTCATTGCTGCATCCTGATGCAACAGCACAAGAGCACCCCCAAGTCCGACAAGAGCTAAGAAATATTGCCGCTGCAATTATAGAACACCCTTACGACGAAAAGCAAGCAAACGAAAAGTTAGCAATCTCAGCACCGAGCATTGTACCTAACGAAAGAAAGCTAAAAGTGCCCTACATGCAGATAGGTAGGTATCAACAGTATTATTACTGGAGGTTTCCCATAAAGAACGATTTGGCAACTAAGAAAGGGAGCTTGAAGCTTGTGACGGGCATGGGAAGTGGCCGTAAGAACGGGATGGTGATGAAGATCTTTGGTACGACTGACACAAGTTTAACGAAGATCAATCTGGATATACCCTCTCCGCAAAGCTATGTTGATATACCAGAAGAAAATCCTCCAGTTGAACTGTAAGGGAACTTTGCCAACACAGAGTGGTTCATATACCGAGGTTCACTTCAGATAATATAAACCAGAAGTGTTTTGGGGTATTTTGTCGGGAAATAAAATATTTTTGCAACGCATACCTGAGCCTACTTGGTTGACTGCGTCCAGACAGACAGACAGACAGACAGACAGACAGACAGACAGACAGACAGACAGACAGACAGACAGACAGACAGACAGACAGACAGACAGACAGACAGACAGACAGACAGACAGACAGACAGACAGACAGACAGACAGACAGACAGACAGACAGACAGACAGACAGATATTTATTTGAATTCGGAAATTCTTCAGTGCATAGCACTGCTTTACAAGAAAGCCGAATATATATACAATTTTAGCTAGAAGCTGATGATGTGATTATTCGAGCTGTAGAATGTTTTAAACACTGAGGAAGATCGTTGATGTATATGAGAAACAATAACGGTCCAAGAATTGACCCTTGAGGCACACCACAATTAATGGTACGTTCGCCGGATAGAACGCCATTCACATAACATTTTTGTTTGCGATCTTGTAAATAGGATTGAAACCGGGATAAACTATTTGTATCAACCGCGTAAATGTGGAGTTTCTCGAGTAATATCTCGTGACTTATTGTATCAAATGCCTTCGCTAGATCAAAATAGACAACCGCATTAAGCTTTCCCTGATCCATGCATATTTGCAAGCCGTTCAATAGTGGCATCTATTAGTGCAGTCATATTAGAGTAGCACTTCCTAAAGGCTGATTGATTCTTGTGTAACAGGTTGTTTTCATTGAAATAGGTGTAAAGCTGATCAAAAACAATACGCACGACAACCTTAGAAATCACACTTAAAAGCGAAATTGGTCTGTAATTCCATACATTATCTTTTGCGTCACCTTTGTATATAGGGGAGACTTTCGCTAATTTCCAGTCATCAGGGAATACTGCTGTTTGTATAGATAAATTAAAAATATCGCACAATGATTTCGAAACTACAGGGCGTATAAAAAAAACGCAACCTCGGAATTTCCCAGGAAATCGACATTGTTTTAAAGACAAAAGATTTTAGGCGCCTGGGAAATTAAAATAGCACAACTGTCAAAATTACTGCACACGCGAGTGCATAAAGCAAAATTTATGCATGCATTTAATGCACAACAGTAATATGATCTATTAGCAATTCGATTTCAATTCCCAGGTGCCTAAAGTCTTTTATGCTTAAGAATTGCAAAGTGATTTCTTGTAGATTTCGTTTGCCCACTTCTACAACCCAACATCAGCTGGAGATAAGTGCACATTATACAGCGACAGAAATTTAATAAACCGTCGCAGTGTAAAGAGTGATGTTGATGCTGCAGTTAATCCTTGTAGACGCTTCTTCATTCTAGAACTAGAGGCACGCATTGTTGCAGCTGGAATGAAGGAGCTTGGCATTGAAGAACTAGAAGACATGTCGCAGTGTGTACCGCACCAATTTGAGAGTTGGACCAAGGCTAAGAAGAAAGAATACCTGGAGTTAGCAGCAACAATTGTCGACAAGTATATTCTCGATAAAGCCAAACACAAAAAGATTGCCCTTGCCACCAGCCAGCTAGAAGAAAAGCAATTGCAAAGGCTGAAGGATATGATATCAAGTGGCAGATATAAGTGTCGGTTCCCTGGTTGCAACAAGACATTTAGGTCCGATGGGAAATGGCGACATACTCACGAGCAGTCTCACAATTCACCACACCAGTCAACATAGAAGAGCAACCACTGCTGACTGAAATCCATGAAGACGTCACAGCAGATGACATGTACAATTACCAGAAATCCCTGCTCGAGTATGGTATGGTGATTCTTAATTTTTTTGATGCAATTTCTGAGGGAGATGGTGCTAGAGTAATCAGAAATTGGAAATTTCTTTTGTTATATTTGCGCCATGATGGCCAAAGCAGCAACAAGTATGCTCTAGAAGCATTATACATGATGTTCCAGATATATGCACTGTTAAGTCCAGAAGCTGCACATGATCTAGTTTGGAACAAATTTTCAAAAAGAAAACAAAAGTTGGGTGGCAATATCTCTCTTGATCTGGCCCTTGAGTTTTTGAACAGAATTTTCAAAGATGTTGTCAAAAAACTAGGACCTAATGCCAGTACAAAGTCCATCAACAGAATTTGCCATGCTATGGGTGTAATGAAACAGCTAACGGAAAATTTTGACAGTTCAATGTTGTTGTACAAGCGCTCTGGTAAACATATGCGTAGGTCAGAGAAGGCTGACATGACGAAGATTGTCAGAGAACTTGTGTCACAAGATGCTCTAACCAAAATATCAGGCAGAAGTTATGGCTTCTATTCTAATTTCAAGCCAAATTTATTGCATGACTTTGACATACAAAAGTTCTACAACTGGATCAATGATCATAAAGGATACATGATTTTGCATAGAAAGGCAAGATAGAGAATATATTTCTGTCATTAATCAACTTTAAATGTTGCAGTAAAGTTACAACAACACTCAGTAAGGACATGCTAAATTCAGGTTTAGCCATTTCTGGCCAGCCTTTCGTATAATGATCAGTTTTTGACATCATTAATATATCAACACCTTTTGACCATAATAGAGCCTTCCAGGTTAAGGATGCCATCTTGAATTTTACCCCTTGCAAAGTTACCTATAGGAAATTCCTATTATTGTGTTTCATTATGCCATTTTGGACAATAAATACTCATTTTTAATTAAATCTTTATTAATCCCTGCTTCTACTAGGCGTTGTAAACAGATCGAGGCATCGTGGTTCAGGAATGTGAGAATTGTATGGTAAAAGTGCGTATTGTAAAAGGTTCTCGATGTTAGTACCAGGAATGTCTCTTCCATGATAAACAATCTTCCCCTGAGAATTCCAAGTTAAAATATCGCTTGATATAAGGATAGAATGTAGAATTTTTTCAGCTGTAGTTTTTTTGACATTCTTGTTCAGATACAGAAGTATATCTTCAATGTGCCAATGTCGCGGAGATGTTTTAGCGTCGATGTTCATTGTTGAAATGATGTATAAAATGTAGTCACAGGGTTTTTATACAAGTTCAGCCAGGCTTTCCAAAATAGGACTTAGTAATAGTCCAAGGAAACCGTTACCACGTTGAACGAGTATCCGTTTTTTTCTTCATACACATTTTCCTCTATCTGCCAACCTAATCATTTCATGTTTGTAAGGTCGGAGTTTCTTCATTACATACTTCGGCATTAAATATTTTCTTTTCATAACGTTTTCTACACAGAGACACAGGCAGTGTACTTGCTCGGCGGCTGCTGTTTCCAGTCGCGCTTGTTGTTGATCAGGCTCAGACGTGCCCAGTAGTTCAAGAAATGGCTTGTTCTTTAGAAAATTGATCATTTCTGTTCGACGGCTTGGAAGCAAATGAGTAAAACACAACAATAAGGAGGCTTATGTTGAAAGAGAAAGCAGGTGAAAAACTATTTGGACTAGGCCTTTCCCGATTGCGCAGGTAAAATCCTAAAAAAGTGCTGGCGAAAATGGCTAAAAAGTGCTCAAAAAGTGCTAAAATTGTGAACAGTTACCTCTAAGATTTTCATAATTTTTTTACAATCAGCATTTTTTAAACCTGTTTCCACGTCTATATGGAACAAACTTCCGTATGTGGAATTGTTTACGACAAAAAAAGAGAACGCGAAAAAGTCAGCGTTCTAATTTTTTAACCGTAATGTCATATGCAGCTGTACGGCTTTCTTTTGGAGTTTTACCTAAATTATATATAGAATATATAATAATATAATACCCGTCAATTTTTAAACCTGATACTGAATTGTATGTTTAGTTAATCGAGGTACGAGTCGAATTCTATAATCGCTGACTTTTTGTTGCTCGAAATTCGCTCAAAATGTGAAATATTTCTGAAACAATACCCAAAGTGTGAAGAAGTGCTCAAGGTTTCTCAACATGCAAAATAGTGCTCCAAACTAAAAAAAGTGTTCAAAAAGTGCTCAGCGCAATCAGGAAAGGCCTAATTTGGACTAAGCTCCGAGCTTTTTAGACTAGGCTCCGAGTTATTGAGAGCTCGTCTTCGAGCCTATGGAGTTTGGCTCCGAAAATATGGAGCTGGCTCGGAGCCTATGGAGCCGGCTCCGAGCCTATGGAGCCTCTGCTCGGAGCCTAAAGAGCTGGCTCCGAACCTATGGAGCTCGGCTAGGAGCCTATGAAGCCTCTGCTCGGAGCCTAAAGAGCTGGCTCCGAACCTATGGAGCTCGGCTAGGAGCCTATGAAGCCTCTGCTTGGAGCCTAAGGAGCTCGGTTCCAAGCCTAAGGAGCTTGGTTCGGAGCCTAAGGAGCTCGGTTCCGAGCTTAAGGAGCACGGCGCCGAGCCTAGGTAGCTCGAGCCTAAGGAGCTCGCCCCCGAGCATAGGGAGCTCGGCTCCGAGCCTAAGGAGCTCTGCTCCGAGCCTAAGGAGCTCTGCTCCGAGCCTAAGGAGCTCTGCTCCGAGCCTAAGGAGCTCGGTTCCGAGCCTATGGAGCCTCAGCTCGAAGCCTATGGAGCTGGCTCCGAGCCTAGGGAGCTGGCTCCGAGCCTAAGGAGCTCGGCTGCGAGCCTATAGGGAGCTCGGCTGCGAGCCTAGGGGGCTCGGCTCGGAGCCTATGGAGCTCGGCTCCAAGCCTAGGGAGTTGGCTTCGAGATACTAGCTGGGCTTTGTGTAATATAAACTCGGTTTTTATCTGAAAGATTTATTATCTAACAATTCGTCATAGAGTAAACATGTCTCATTCATGCCATATCTGTGGAAAATATTTCTCTAAACCGTTCAATTTACATCGACAAAAACGAAAAGTACATGATCAAAAACCAACCGACAACATTCGCATGGCGACTAATAGATCTGCAGTTTTGCAACACCCATTTACATGCATCGTTGCAGGATGTACCCAAAGCGGTAAGACTGTATGGGTGAAATCTCTCTTGGAGAATGCACAGAAAACTGTAAGTCCGCCTCCTCAACGTATCATTTGGTGTTATGATCAATGGCAACCCTCGTATTTTGATACGATGAGAACGATGTCTGGAATCGAGTTTAATCAAGGCATCCCCGACGATATCGACAAGGCAGATTACTTGGACGTATCGCAATGGAAGAGAAGTAAATCCCGGGAGAGTGCAAGAGTTTATGAGGAGTTATATTACGAAGATGCCACGAGCCGACCTCACGGATATTTGATCCCTATAAATATTTATCCGTCATTCCTGAACAAATTATCCCATTTGCCTGCGCTTTCATGAATTTTAATATGTTTTCTCTGCAGTCATGACTGCGAAAATTTTTTTCTGAAAATTCAAAGTTATCCGGACGTTTGTCGACATTTATCAAACAAGGTGTCGTGGCCAAAATTGGGAAAATGTGGGTTGGACAGTATTTTTTGGCTGAATCACTTCCCAGGACATAAATAACATAATATAATTAGAGAACATATAAAGATGGATTATTACACATGATTTGCAAAGTAAAATATCCATAATATATTATATAAAATAGTAAAATATAGTATAACATATAATATAGCATACTATACAATTCTTTATATATAATATAAAATACTTATTTATAATATTTTGATATATTCAAATACACATATTTCTTTGTACCTTCAAGACATAACATCTCCCTGTTCTTCAGCAAGCACCAAACGTGTAGGATGCATTATATATTGAACACTTTCGTACAAGAAATTTGCCCATTTAGAGTAAAATCTTTCGCATAAAATCCAGACTAGCCTGCGTCACAGACGCTCGTGGGCGGAAATGGGGGCGCTAAGTAGCGTCTGTGCATTAGTGCCAGGTTACGTGTTCTATAATATATGCAAATTATGCATCGGATGAGCCAGCGGAAAATTATTTAGATTGTGATTTCATAATTATGCAACATGTGCGCATGAAAGAATAGTATGTAGATGACATGTCGGACATTTGCATATTGTGTTTGAATGTTATTGTGAAAATTAATGAAAAGCATCGTGTCGAAGGTAAAGGAGCTTTCAAAGTAATTCCTGAACTGGAAAGTTTTTCTTTCAAAGTAGAAAGAGTGAGTCCTTTTATCTGCGCTGGATGTGTTAAAAAGCTGAAGAAACGAAGAAACCTCATCACACAAATTGAGTGTATCGACGAGTTTTATCGCACTATTCAAACTAAATCAACGTGTTCGTCAAGCTCTTCGCTAAAAAGAACAAGTGATATCAGTTTGGACAGTGTTGGTATTAAAATACATTGTGGAAATGAGGGTGAACGCTCGCCTAGTACAAGCACAGAAACGATAGAGCGGCCATCTTCCAGTTCTCGTTGCAGTTCACCTGTACGTCCAGATAATATACCTCCACAATGGCCTGTGTCCCCAATTAAGCATAGAGAAAACTCAGAAGAGGGCCCTAAATCTACGAATGTGTATGTGAAAGTTGAGTGGCCCAGTAAAAATGCTGAACGAAAGTTGCCAGGTGATCTAGAGTCGCTAGGAAAAATGCTTGTACGAGGAACATACAAACAGATAGCGAACGCAGCATGGAAGAACACAAGCATCAAAAAACAACTCCAACTGTTAATGTTAAATGACATAAACCGAGAATGTTCTGATCTTTGCTCAAGGAAAAATCCAAGCTGTCTAAGGAGCCCGAACAAGGAAAATATGTTGAAATTTTCAATCGAACATTTTAACAAGGAACTGAAGGAAAGAGCCCCATTGACATTTTCCGTGTTAGTTGCTGCTTCTGTGAACCCTCGAAGTAGATCCAGGGCAAACAAGAATGGCTTAAATATTGAAACATTTTGGTCACCTGCTGTTGGTATGGCTGCAGCAGTTTGCCTGAGAAACAGGTCAAGATTTATGAATGCGCTACAATTATTAATTACAATATTCAACTACCACTCTGGATGGCAGGTGTGTATATCTATTTTCATTTTTAATACTATACATATTATTTTAGAATATTTTGGTGTTATTACTAATATTAGTGTCATGTGTATTGATTCAAATAAAGTCTTTATTATTATTATAATTAATTATTATTATTATTTAGCACAGTTTGCCTGAGTGTGTGTGGGGGGGGGGGTCTTGGCCCTTGGGGTTTAAAATTCTGCGTCTTCAGCTTTCCCTAAGATTGGGAGTTACAACTGACAACTGATTTATTATAACAAAATATAATTGTGGATTAGTTGGTTAACGTTATCTGAATTATAATCTTGACTGTGACGTGCCAATGTAGGTAGTGAAGAATAGAGTATGCTTGCATGCAGCTTTGATGTGCGATGTAGCTACATGAAAAATAGAATAGTTTAATGATCCAATAAGTGTGCAAAATTGTATATATTATAAATTATTTAGGCAACCCTTGCACGACTGGCCTCATTACGAATAACAACATCACATACATATTTGTATAAAAAGCTGGACGAATATGGAGCTGGGTATCGTGATGAAATATTAAATGCTGTTGAGAATCAATGCCTGTTTCTGAAAAGGAATCCTGAAGTGGTGGAGTCTGATGACCAACAATCATGTGACCATGGGCGGAAAATCACAATTGACAATTTTGATTACCGGCAAAATGTGCACCATATGACAGAAGAGCATCAGAACATCGATGTTCATCATGTCACTGTGATGTCAACTGAGAACAGAATTGGAGCTGTAGACTTCAGTGACCAGAAGAAAGAAGATGGAATTATGAAGCTTGAGAATGGAAAATTCATACCAAGTGATGATGACCACCAATTGCAGAGAAAGAATTTCATTACTTTAGTTGGTCGAATACTTGTGGCTAATATACCATGTCTGAAATTCTTGGCTGATGTTGTCACATCTCATATACCACACAAATACAGTTCGCAAATGGCAAAGAAGACGAATACTGTAAGTAGATTTACTGGACAGAGTACATTTTTAGTTATAATAACCTTGAACAGTATGTGCCAGTGTTGGTAGCGATAACAACAACAATGCACTTCGGATTGTTAGGGTAAGTTATAGTATAGGTTACTTGTATTGTTACATGTTTAGTTCTCTGTAGAAGCTAAATGCACAAGATTAACCCTTGGTGACTAAGATTGTATTGATGTATTCCATTAGTTAGAGAAAGAGAAAAACAGTTACTGCATTTTTGCTGCATAATGGTTAGATTTTATGCACCATTTTGAGCTTGGGATTTCATTGTACAGTAGGTAGCAATATTTCATTGTAGGTAGCAATGAACAATATACTTGAGGGATAATAGGATCAAACAACATTAAAATTGTCACAAGAACTTTATGTTCCAATCAAAGGACCTGATGTCATCTAAAATTTTGTTCTTGTTACTAATTTCAAGGTAGCCTGATCCTATTACCCTTAAGTATTTAATATGAAACTTTAGCTTCAAATAAAATCAAATTTTATAGTCCCAAATATACCAATACAAAATAATACATTTTATAACATATTTGTTGGGAATGTTGTTCGATGTCCCCCCACGATCACAATAAATCATAAATCACAAACCAAAAATAATGTTTTAATACTCACAAATCTCAAAAAGGTCGCTCACAAAAGAAAACATGATACATATACTCTTCCTAGAACTAAATCGTACCATTTACTTCCGGTACAGTTACCATAGCTACTTTTGACGACATACTGTACATAATTATAATAAATTAACCCATTGAGTGGCAGCACTCAGACTCTCTCCCTGACAAGTAAATCGTCTGGCGTTAGACAGAGTAAAATAATAAAGTGGGACACATTGCCACTGAAAGGGTTAATTATTAGATAGAGCTTAGAAGCTTGGAAAAAGCTCATCAACTGAAGGCTGTTCAGCAGGGGCGTAGGAACCAGGGGGCCATGCCCCCCCCCCCAAGTTTTGGCAAGTGCCCTTTTTCCAGGAGCAAAGTGCCCTTTTTGTGCCTGAAAAATTTTCATAAAATGTGCATTTTTTGTCCAAACGAAACTTGTGAAAACTTCAATCTATGTTTTTTCCGGGAAAAATATCATATATTGGTTTGTCCGGAAAATTTTTTTGTATTTAAGAAGAAATATGGTTAACCCTAACTCTTAAAATGGTACACTGACCGAAATTTTTTTGGCGACGGGGGGGGGGGTCGCCAAAAAAATTTTGAGATGCCCTTTTTTTGGAAAGTGCCCCTCAAAGCCTGCCCCCCCCAACTTTTCTAAGCTTCCTATGCCTCTGCTGTTCAGTCAGTCAATTATTAGAGATGGGACAAAGTACCTTCTGTAGCAATAGCAATCAAACTATTTGTTATTCTTATGTAATCACGTCTAATCATGTACATAATATTAAATATCGAATTTTTAGACATTCATGGGTCTAATTTATGAAAACGAAAATGACGCTGATGGCATCACCAATGTAATCAAAGAATTACACCAGTATGTTCCTCATGGTCAGAATGAAGATGGGACTGATGGCAAGTATGGAGAACAAGGGATTGTTGGGGATCAGCTCACTGTGGAGAGATTTGTAAATGGTCATGCGTCTATTGCAAATGGATTTACAGAGAAGGAACAGTGCACTGGCCTTCATGCTGAGGTTGCAGACTGGCATTCTGGAAATAGATTCTTACAGGTATAATATACTAAATCAATTTTTTTGTTAAATACTGGAGAAAATGTATGCAGTGCCTTCTAAATGTCTGCGAATGTTGTCAATTGACTGATGTTAGTGGACAATGTTTAGGGGGACTGAGTGCAGTTATCATAATAATCACACAGTCGAAAGATCAACAAGCTATTATGACACTGCATTTTATATTATTATATGTCTTTTTACAGTTGGCGTTTCAGAACCTTTACAGCGCATCATCTGGTTATGACAAATGTACACTGTATGCCGATCGTACACTCATCAATAGACGGAATGTGAAAAGTGACGTGTCCTCTGCAGTCAACCCTTGTCGACAGTTCTTCACTCTGGAGGTCCACGCTCGTGTCATTGCTGCCACGTTGAAAGTGTTGAACATGGCTAACTTAGAAGAAGAACCAGGCATACCTTTTCCAGGGGATGAGTCCTCAAAAGAAGATAAGAAGAATTATCTTGAATTTGTATGTGCCAAGGTTGTTGACATGTTTGTCATTGATGAAAGCAAGAATGAGCGGATTCTTGAATGCTTGGACAGCATCAATCTTTGCGAGAAAGCTAAGGCATTGTCATTGGATGACAACAATAGATATCGGTGTCGATATGAGGGTTGTCAAAAATCCTTTGCAAAGTATGGCAAGAGAATGAAGGATCATGAGGCAAACCATAATCCACCAATATTGGAAATCATTGAACAGTCTGTTGTTGTAGATACCACTTTATCTGACGAAGAACAGGATGACATGTTCTCCTATCAAAAGGCACTGCTGGAGTATGGCATGCTCATTCTGAACTTTTGGGACGCCATATCAGAAGGGGATGGTGAACGCATAATGAGATGCTGGCGATTCTTTTTGTTGTATCTTCGAGCAGAAGGGCAGTCAACTGTAAAGTATTCTCTTGAGGCTTTATACCTGTTGTGTCAAATCAATGTTCTTCTAAGTCCACAAGCTGCTCAACGATTGATTTGGAACCGGTCAGTGAAGACTAAAAATGGTCTTGGTGGCAACATACCACTTGATCTTCAGCTGGAGTTCTATAACCGAATGATGAAGGCAGCTGTCAAGAATGTTGGTCCAAATGCTTCTAAAACATCTCTAAATAGAATTGCACATTCTATGGGTATAACAAACGAGTTAATGAAACAGTTTGACCATGAACTTTCTGTGTACAGAAGATCTGGCAAGCACATCACTACATCATCACAGAATGATTTGTTAAAGATTGTAGATGAACTTCTCCATGAAAGAGCATTCTATATGACCGAAGGAAGAAGATACCACCATTTTAAAAATATGAAGCAAAGTCTTCTACATGGTTTGGATTTACAAAAACTGTTTAGTTGGATAAACGAACATAAGGAAAATCTTGTTCTACATAGAAGAGCTAGGTAATTTAGCTGAGTATTGACGTGCATTGGTCCAGTCCTTAGGACTGGATCAAAATTAATTCAACTTACTTTAAGTACTGATTTGCTCATTTGAGGTATTATTTCAAATCCAACTATGAGGACTGGCCTAGATTTCAAGTCCCGCACAATTTGATCTAGTCCGAGGCAAAGCTGAGGACTGGATCAAAATGCGAGAACAATAAATCTTGTCCAGTCCAAATATTAAAAGGGGATTTGAAATGACATCTCATATCAGTCATATGAATAAATCACTACTTAAATTAAATCATAGGACTACTTAAAGTAAGTCCTACTTAAAGTAAGGACTAAAATAGGATTAATGACTACTTAAAGTAAGTCCTAGGACTGGATCAATATACTTCACCAGGTATCCAATATTATCATGTGAGCAAAATAAAGCAATATGGACTAATTTACTCATGAATTATTAATGATTTGAGATGTTATTCCAAAACTTCCAATTTGGACTGGACTAGATTACAAGTCCTTGCAATTTGACCCAGTCTTCTAAGACTGGGCCAAATTACCTTGGACTGGATCAAATTACACATACTTAAAATCTAGTCCAGTACCAAATCTGGTTTAGTCATCACATAACCCTTTAAGACTAAGTGGCAATGCGCACTATTTTACTCTGTCTAACGCCAGATAATTTTACTTGTAAGCGTAGAGTGCCGCCGCTCAATGGGTTAATTAAAAAGGTATATGGAGAAACAATGGGTAAACCTATTATAGTGTACTTGAACGATGTTGTAAGTGCACAATTTCTTTCTACGTAAATATGTATATTATATATCAAAGTTTATAGGTGTTGTTTTACTATATATAACTATGTAAATATTTATGATTATTACAGTATTACAAATAATATATGTACAGGTATATACATATGCATGCCTGGAAAATGTTATTCTTATGACACATGTCCAAAAGCAATGCAATTTTAAAACTTTTATCTGACTATAAATTCCCATACAATTTTAATTATAAAAGTAATGCTGAAGTGCTTTAACACCCAACTTCTTCCTTGATAAGTAAAATTGTCTGGGATTAGACACACCACAAAAGTAAAGTACATTAGGGCACATTATAGTTCAATGTGTTAATTTTTGAAAAGGGTATAATTGAAGGTATGAATGTATACGATTTTGTAAACCAAAATCATTTTATAACTATTACATGGACTTCACATCTGTATGTGTGGATCACTGATGGTGTGGATATATTGAAGTTAAAGATCCCCAATGCAATATACAGTGTACACTTAATATACAATAACCCTAATCAACTAACATTTGAAATAGACTATTGTTACCAGAATGGTTTGACTCAGTGTCAGACATGTCATTGCAGTCATCTGTAGTGTCATCAGCAGTTACATTTAGACTGTCAAACATGCTATTAAATGAAGAGTCCTCTCTGAGTTCATTCCACACAGAATTGATCGATTCATCAAGCATGGAAATGTTTTCAATACTTAAATCTGAATATGCATACTCAATATCACCAAAAACTTCGGAAATTACTTGAAGTATGACACAGGCATACTGATGTCGCCAAATTTCAATGTGTTCAAGAACATCATCCAA